AAGTGTCGTAATCTTGTTTATACAGTGAATAATTTAGCTACAAACGAACCAGTTGGAACAAATATGCCTTTTTAAATGTTACATTTTGCCAAATGAAATATATATATGTTGTGTGACGATGAAAACTTTTTACCACATCCCCGTATTGACGAATATGTTTCTTAAAATTACTATTCGTAAAAGGTCTGAAGTTTAGTTCAATATTTTACCAGTAGATCAGGTACATGATCGTAATAGGTGTTTAACCTAGTGTATTTGAGAATCGCTTTGCTTTGTCTAATTTTTTTACACCTCATGTTTTTAGTTCATATCCATAACTAATTTAGAATAAACAAATTAACACTGTTAATAACAGGAAAAGTATCTGAAAAAATGTGGAAACTTCGTGAAATTACAGACAAAGTGTAAGTAACAAATACTTTTCTAACAATAATGGTACGCAACCTCCTGAGTGTTGCACTCGCACAAGTTGCAGTGCTACTGTTACTAAGTGTTTGTGATTCACACGGAACATTAATGTTATTATTATTAATTAACACAGTGCTGTTAATTACTGTTGCTACAACTTTCAAATTGGTGTTAGTATTTGATCGTTTGAGTGTATAAACACTGACCCTACATACAATTTAAAATACTTAAGTAGGTAAACACTTGGGCTCCTTACTTCAAGTTCAGCAGTTCAACTTCAAGTTTAATTTTCAAGGACTGCGTTTTTGGAAAGGGATTAAACTCAAAGGAGGTCTGCTTCACCACTACTACTATTAGGATGATTATTGGGATGGAGGGGCTGTCATAAGACTGCTGGGGCGGATTGGGACACCAGGCAAAATCCCGGGGGCTGGTGATGCCTGGGCCAGTGGGGTGATAACCTGGTTATACTGTCCCAGTACTAATGACTAACCTACTGTACATCTCTCTTTATATATATATATGATCCTGATTTTTGAGTATTTGCCCTGGCCATTTTAGGCTTTCAATCCATCCCTGCATAAGAGGATAGGTTAAGGTTCTTTAATTTTTTTTCTCTTGAGAAAAGAAGGGTCAAAAGTATAAAGGGAAAAGGTAGGATTGATACATCAAATATTTTTGTGTTTAACATAACATAATATTTTGGGACAACATGGGACCTATTGGTCCATCTCGGCTTTTCAATCCTCAAAACTAAATTAAAATGATTAAAAAAATAAGATAAAAAATTTTAAACCCAGCCTTTTTCATTCCTATTCTTATCAAACATTTACTTAAACTCAAATTTACAGCCTCTACAACATGTGAAGG